TATGCGTCAACCAGGGCAGAAATGGCTTGCAGTCTTCATTTATTTTTTTTTATGCTTAGCTTCCTTTCTGTTTCAAAAGAATTTCTTGAAATCCATGGGATTGTTCTGTTGTTTCCTAAACCATTTGGCAAAAATACTGTATTTGAAATCCAGCCTGAGAAGAGGACATTGGAAGTTGGGGTGTTCAGGTGCTTTCGTGAGGAGTTCTGATGTTCCTTTACAGTTTCTGATGTGTGTTCAGAGCAGTGGGGAAGGTTTTGGTGGACCTCTGTGGTTTGCTGTTGTGGATAAGCAGTTTGTGTGAATGAAGTTTGCCACATTTATTCCCAGTTCTGTGTTGGCAAAACAAGCAGTGCTGCTTTGGCTATGGTGTGAGTTAAGGTTTGGGACTGCGGCTTTGAGAGGGGAGAACTGAGCTTGAGCTAGGACAGATTGAAGTTGTCAAACACTGCCTTAAAGTACCTTTTTTTCCTCCCAGCTCTGCTGAAATATAGGTTCTAAACTTTCACTCCTTTGAGTCACAATTTTAAAATGGATGTGAAGTGTATGCTTGGAGCCTATTTCTTGTTTTCCCTTCTCTGTGTGAAAATGACCATGTAAGTTACTTACAATGCAGCTGAGGACGGGTGTTCTTGTTGAAGTGCTGCTGCTCAGTGCTGCTTTCCTACTCTGCCTTCTGCTCCATCTCTTCCTGGAGATCAGTTCCTGGTGGTGCAGCTGCTCCTAAGCTCAGAATCTGGGTCAGTGTGTCACACCCACTCCATGCTGAACTTATTGGTACCTTGTGCCAAAAAAAAAAAAAAAAAAAAAAAAAAAAAAAAGCAACCAAGTTTCCAAGTTTTTGATTTTATGTTGGCAAAATAGCAACATTAATTAGAGCAGTATTCTAAGCAGCTAATTTGTTGAAATTCTGCCTTATCCAGATAAGACATTGAGTGAGCTGCTGAGACATATATGTATGTGCGTTTGGTTGTTGTTGTTTTTTTTTTTTTTTTTTTTTATTTCCCCAATATCAGGAACTTTTCTTGCCTTGTTTTGGACTATTTGTCTTAGATGGTTTTCTACAAGGCTGCATAATTCCCTGCTCTTTTGTAGCATACTGAGCTGTAGAATTTAATTTCTCAGCTGCTAACAGCAGATTTACTGGTACTACAAGTGTAGCAATGTTTGTTGTCTGCACTGATTAGGTGGAGAGTCAGTAGGTTCAGCATTCTGTAATAAAAGAGCAGTCTGGCTGCAGAGCACCAGTAACCCTCAGTTCGTTTTGGGGCACGTACAAACTCCAGCTTATGCAGCTGATAACAGCTCTCCTGTTTGCGAATAGGGATTATGTTCTAGGAGGGGAACTTGTTATAACTGTGCCTTCTGAAAAAGTTTTATCACTTGAGTTTTTTTTCTGTAAGTGGTTCAGAGGATTGAAATGTGTTTTTTTTTTGTCTCCTGATGGGACTGTGGTTCAGTGAGGTGGCTTTGCGTTGCTGCCATAGGAGTCCTACCCTTGTAACTATGCTGCATCAGCTCCCTGCTCATCGCATTCTGTGGCACTGTGGCATTTGGCACAGGAGAAGAACAAATGGCCATTGATGGGGGCTTGGTAGCTATCCAGGTTGGTACTGCTGCGAAACTTCTCCCTTCTAGCCATGCCCAGCCACCTTGTTTGTTCAGTGTAATTCTGATGGTTGTGGTTCTTTTTCCTGCGGCAGACTGTGATGCTGCTGCTAGAGCATTGCCCACTGCAGCACATTTTGTGCTCTCTGTTGGCGCTGGGTTTTTTTTTTCTTTTTTTCTTTTTTTTTTTCCTTCTTTCTTTCCTGACTGCCGGTAAAACTACAAATAAACTGAAAGGCATCCATGAAGCAGATGGCACTGGCGCAGGTTCTGCTCAGGAAGGAGCTTGGGTTTCTCTCTCTGGGCCAGACGCACCGGCCCGGCTGCGCCAGTGCCTGTGGCACTTCTGCTCCTGCTTTTAAAAATAGCAGAAGCATTCTCAATGCGACTGCATTTGAGCACAGATTTGGGGATGGCATCTCTACATGTCTCCAGTGCTCACGTCCCACATCTCCAGTGCTCACTTTTCTTCTGTGTTTCCTTGTGGACAGTGCTTTCTTCAGTAACCCACACTCAATTATGGCTGCCCTGAGCTGGGTGCCAGTTGGCCCAGAGGGCTTCCGTCAGGGACAGGAGGTGCTGGTTCCTATTTTTATGTTTCTGTAAAAAATTTGTGTAGTAAATTGCTTGTGCACAAATGCATTAGATGTTTCTTTTTCTAAAATATGGACCACAAAGTGTAGCAAAATCCTTTCTGTATGGCAGGATTGGGAATTTCTTCAGGCAGGGCTGCACTGAAGATGAAAGTGATTGGTAGAGGTTGCCCCTCTACTCTGTGCTGGTGAGGCCTCACCTGGAGTGCTGCATCCAGATGTGGAGTTCTTAGTACAGGAGAGATATGGAGCTGTTAGAGCATGTCCGGAAGAGGGCCTCAAAAATGATCTATGGAATGGAACACCTGTCCTGTGAGGTCAGGCTGAGAGAGCTGGGGTTGTTCAGCCTGGAGAAGAGAAGGCTCTGAGGTATCTAAAGGGGAGCTACAGGAAAGAATGGGAGTGACTGTTTAGCAGGGTCTGTGGTGATAGAAGAAGGGGAAGTAGCTTCAAGCTCAAGGAGTGTAGACTTAGGTTAGATGCAAGAGAAAAAAAAATCTTGCACAGCGAGGGTGGTGAGGTGCTAGAATGGATTGCCTAGTGGTGTGGATGATACCCCGTCCCTGGAGGCTTTCAGGGTGGTGCTGGATCAGGCCCTGGGCAACTTGACTGAGCTGTGGCGTCCCTGTTCATTGCAGGGGAGTTGGACTAGGTGTCCTTCAGAGGTCCCTTCCAACTCTAAGGATTCTATGATTCAAGAGAACAGAGGACAGTGACTTCTGGCAGAAATGTGGAGGTAAGGAGTGAAGGGTTTTGCCCAAAAAGGTTTTAGTTCCAAGCCCTACAGAACTGTAGTGGTCAGGAATCGGACTCTGGAGCCCCTCAAAAGCAGTTCCCTACAGCAGCTGCACAGAAGAGCACCCAGGGGGACCAGAACATCTCCAGGGAAGGAGACCCCAGCTCTCCGTGCCACGCTCACAGCACAGAAGTTCTTCCTCATGTCCCTATGGAACTCCCCGGGCTCCAGTCTGTGCGCGGCGCTCCTCGTCCTGGCGCTGAGCACCACAGGGCAGAGCCCGGCCCCATCCTCCTGACCCCCGCCCTCCACATATTGATCAGCGCTGATCAGATCCCTCCCAGCCTTCCCTTCCCCAGGTGAACAGCCCCAGGGCTCTCAGGCTGTCCCCATCAGGAGGTGCTCCAGGCCCCCACCATCTCTGCAGCCGTTCCCCGTCTGCCTGGAACTGGGCAGCCCAGCTCTGGGTGCCGTGCTCCAGCTGTGCTTCCCCGGAGCAGAGGGGAGCAGAACCTCCCTGCCCGCTGGCTCTGCTCTGTGCAATGTACCACAGGGAACCATTGGCTGCCTTGGCCGCAGGGCACACTACTGGCTCGTGGTCACCCCATTGCCTATCAAGACAAATGAGTTCATTTGCCTCTGAAAGGAAGAGTGTTTTACCCTATTAGAATTGTAAAGGAAACCTCGGTGTTTCTGGAGACCTGGGTGCTGCGACTGTGTAGTTTTTGGTAATTGCGGGATGGGCTCTGGAGAAATAGGTGTGTTCCGTGCTCACTGATTAAAGCCATGATATGGCAGCCTGTCTCTCTGTTTGCTAACACAAAGAGTACTTTTAGTAGGATCTGGAGTACTTCTTCATTAGGTCGAAGTCGATTTAAATTCAACCCCGCTTGTGTTGCTGGCAGCTGATGTTGAGTGTGGCCGCTCTTAGAGGGCGCCCCGCGGTGCCCTCTGCTGGCAGCACGAACGCTGCACCGGATCCACTCCGACGCGGAGCTGCTGCGACTGAACTGCCGTTGAAACTTATTGTTTGCATTCTAAGTTTCTAGGATAGCCTGATAAAAGTGTTTTCAAAATGGTGATTTCATCCTGAATTGCTTTGGGTTCTTTTTCCCTGCCAATTTTGAAATAATTGAACAATTTGGCTTTTCATGTTGGAAGGCACTTTGAAGTTACACTTTTTTTTTTTTTTTTTAAATGAATTGCCTGGCACTTAATTTTCTTTGTGCAAATGCAAACAACGTGTAATGACACCACCTTTTAAAAAAGATCCTGATGTAATGTTTTATGTAATCTAGCATGGCAAAAAAACAAAACAAAACAAAAACAAAAAAAACCCAGAGGAAATACTGGCTAATACATTTCCCAGAGCTGGTGAGTTGTTGTTTTTTTTTTATTTATTTTTGTTGAAACTAAATATAAAATCATTCAGATGGGAAGCTTTGAGGGACAGCTAGTTCCATGTGTGCTGACATATGCTGGAGGTAGGGAGGAGTTTGTTCTTCACTGCCGTTCTGGTGAGGCACAGTTTCAGATGATGAATGGAAGGGGCCAATATTAAGTCTCTGAGATATATTTAGGCAGCACTTGAACTCTCAAGTGATACTGGTGTTCCTGTCATATTCCGCAGTCGTTTCCTCTGTGTAGGCTTGGTTACGCAGCTACAAATGGACTCACATTAGTGTGGCATTCTCCTGTATGGAAGTGAGAAGTCAGCACTGTGAAGGCAGCTGTTTTAGAAATGAGTGCTGTCACATATTTCAGCTTTGAATGCCTTGACAGAAGACAGTAGTGAAATGGGAGAAAACCTTGTGGAGTTTGCTGATACTTCGCTCTTCTTAGAGCCCTGCAAACAAATAGACATTTGGATTTTTGATCAGAAATCCTTCATACCCATGTTAGAGTTTTCTGCTTTTAAATACTTCCTTGGAGAGTGGGAGGACAGAGAAATCCCAAATATTGCTACCTTTCTATGAAATTCAATAAAGCATGTAGAAAGAAAATAATGATTAATTACTGTTTGTTTTTTTTTTTTTCCTTCCTGATTTGTTTTCACTGCTTAGGTGCTGCCACCCTCCTGAAAATATGGGGTCTGAAAACCCAAGTCCGCAGAATCCTGGCTGTAAGATTATGACCTTTCGTCCCACCCTTGAGGAGTTTCGGGACTTTGGGAAATACGTTGCATACATTGAATCACAAGGAGCTCACCGAGCAGGGCTTGCCAAGGTGAGTTCACCCCGTTCTGGGAGTTGAAAGCTTTCTGAAGAATGCCTTCCTGAGGCTCTTTTGCCAAAGCGCCTGTGCAGTGGTATCACTCAGAAGTAGTGTTCTTTTGTGTAGTCAAGTTTTTTGAAATTGTATTTCCAATCTCTGCATTTTGATTTATCAATAAAATAGAGGCAAAGATGTTATGATCCTTTCACAAGAGTGAAATAAGCGTGTAGTTAAACTATATGTATTTCTGATCCCCAGTGGGAAAACAAAAACATTCTCAGCCCTTACAGAGATCAGTTAAGGGTACTGCCATGTCCCAAGTCTATTGCTGAAAATAGAGACGATGGTAGCCAAGGTCCTCAAGGAGCTCTGAGGTTTTCAGCTTCCTCAGATTGTTGGGTAAAGCATCAAGTTTTTCAGGTCTGCTTAGGGTTGGATAGGGAATTGGGTCTGAAGTCACATCTATACGCATGGGTGCAGACTTCTTACTCTTAGCTTTTTTATGCCCTAAACAACTACTTTGTGCTAACTTGAATCTAGGCCTGTAAATGTGACATGCAGGTGTGTGTTCCCCAAAAGCACCGGAAAACCCTGCAGCTAGCTCTGAAACCTCTTTCCAGCTTTCCTTCCCATCCATGTCTTTACATTGAAGCTGATGAAACATTATGAGAACTCTTCATGTTATACTTTAAAATCCCAGTGCGTGACATGAAGCATATGACATGCCGCTTGGGAAAGAAAAACAGCTAACTGTCTAGAAGGATTGCTTCTGTAGTAGTGTCATGTTGCTCTATAGCTGAGAGAGCATTTGTTCTGACAAAGTAGTTGTTAAACGTGGTATTTAGCAGAATCTAATAAAGCACAGCAGAGAAGTAAAGCTTTAGGGTGTGAAATAGTAATGATTTCTTTTAAAATAGGTCAATTACTGTTTTTATTGCAGTCATAAATAGAGCAAAGTACTGATAAAAGGCTGTCTGTGAAATGTTTCCTTGTCCACTCAAGTGTACTGGCAATTATGTTTCATGGGTTGGCTGAGGTATTTTAAGAAAGGTTGTTGGTGAATTGCTGATGTTATAGAGAAATGACTTCCTGTAGGACTAAATCTCAGCATTTCAAGTTATTTTCTCTGTTTAATTTATTGCAGCTACCGTTTAGAGCCGTGTTATAGCAGTAGAGCTCATCATATCCTAAAGGAACCATCGCTACAAAAATCACTAACTTCACATTCCCATAATGTTTTGGGTGCGGGTTGTTTTTTGGGTTTTCTTTTTTTTTTTTTTTTTTGTGAATTCTTCCACCAAATTAGACTGTAGATACATATATATATTATTTTTTTCATTTCACTTGCACACTGGATGTTCTCAGATGTGTCCCTGTAATCCAGAAACACCCACAGGAATAATGGAACAGGATCTAATAGAAGGTATCCCTGCACATGACAGGCTTTGGGACTGGGTGGTCTTTAAGGTTCCCTTCCAATCCAAACCTTGCCATGATTCTGTGATACCATTTGTGATTGTGAGCCTTCCTAGTTTAAAAAACAAACAAATAAAGCAAAAACAACATCCTCCCTCTTTAATGTTTCTGATCTTCTAGATGTAGTAGTAATGTAGACTGAGGTGAAAGAATTTGTTGGTTATTTGAGATGCTGCTGTTATCAGATAACATATAGCAGCAGGATGAAATATCTTCTGTTTAAATTTGTTTAACTCGGTAGAAATTGTTTGCCTGTTTTGAAGATTTTGGTGTTTTTATTTCTAGGTGATTCCTCCCAAGGAGTGGAAGCCCAGAAAAACCTATGATGACATAGATGATATGGTTATCCCAGCTCCCATTCAGCAGGTGGTTACTGGCCAGTCAGGATTATTCACACAGTACAATATACAGAAGAAACCCATGACTGTGGGAGAGTACCGGCGTCTGGCTAACAGTGAGAAGTATGTCAGTGTTAAGTGTGCTTCCTTTGTGAGTGGAAGAGTAGCACAGTAAATCTTTCTTTCCGACAACAAGCTGGAAAGAAAATACAACCAGCTATATTAAATAGGAAGCATTTTGAAGCAAACAACATTTTCTTGATAATTGACCTCCAGAATTTCAAACCAGTAGATAATTTCATGGCTTTTGGTGTGCATCTTTGATCTTTTTCTCAGAGTTGGTGTAGAAAGTTTCTTTGAAGTCAGCATCTGACTAAGGCTGTGCCTGAAAACAATGGCTTAAGGCTCTAAGGAGAGCTCCCAGTCTGTTAATTGTTATTCTGGAAAATATGTTTCAGTGCTCAGATACAAATGCGAGTGCGCTTGAGTGTGTGAGTGTCTTCTGAAGAGCCTGGGAATGTTGCAGAACACTTCAGTTAACTGGGACGAGCTAACCCTTACAAGCTGCGGTTGCATCATTCTTATAGAGTCGTTTTCCCAGAGCTCTGGAATATTTCAAGTTTTAACTCAAGCATTACTGACAACATGCAGTCAACTTTGAAATATTGCTAACGCAGCCTATAAGGGTGCTTTACCTGTGTTCAGCAAACTGTAATAACTTCATCTCGCGCATTGCTAGGATGAGGATTTGATGCTTCATGTAAGTGCTCATCCTGTTTGTCAATATGCACTAAGAGGTTTTGTAGAAAGATTTAAAAGGCAGTAAATGTGATGAATTTGAATAGAATTAAAAATGTAATACATCTTCAGCAACCTCTCAAGTGTGTGTGCTTTGAATGTGAACTTATTTTTATGGGCAATAGAAGATGAAGAGAGAAGAGGTTTAAAAGCACAAGTTGCAGGACTAGAAACAAAAACGCTTGTGTTTTGTGCTTTGCCGTAAACATGCATTGCAAGAATTTTAATCTGATTTACTTTTTTCTTTGCCTTTTTTCTCTTTCTTACTGATTTTTTTACACTCATATAATGTAATTTGTTATATAATAACAGATTTAGATAATTTGCTGATTATTTGTACATTGCTTTGAGATAATGAAATGGAAGATACGATAAAAGCATGTCCAATTTTACTGTGCTGTATATAATCTGCTGCCTAAACTATAGTTTTTTCTGATGCTGACTAGTAGGAGTGTTAGCAGGTGTTCACAGTGCTGAGAAATGCACTCTTCTTGTCAGCCGTTTGTCTGTCTGTAGTGAGAGTGCCGTAGGGCTTCTTGCTTCCTTGCCTCCTTTGTGTTCTTTTCAGATATTGTACGCCACGCCATCAAGATTTTGAAGACTTGGAGCGCAAGTACTGGAAGAATCTCACTTTTGTCTCACCAATTTATGGGGCTGATATCAGTGGCTCTCTGTATGACACAGTAAGTGAGGCTCCTCATTAATGTGTGTTTTTGCTGAACCCATTAGGGAACAGTGATTTAGAATTTGCTTCAAAGGCAACTAACTTAAAGCTGTGCCTGTAGTTATCTTTGGAGTAGAATGGCCTGTTGTCTGACTGCCCACAGTATAAACTCTCTTGGTATAAAAGTGTCTCTCTATTATCATTATGGTTTAGTGTGGATTTAATTGGAAGGAACTTAGATTCTGAAGTCACCACAGCCATAGACCTCAAAATTTCCCAGTATTTGGTGCTGTGATGAGTATCATGTACTTGTACAAGTTTTTGGAGAAGCAGTTTCTTCATGTACAGAATGTATATTGTTTCCTTCAGTTAACTTCAAGTTCCCCTAAACAGAAATTAAATAATTGGATTACCAATGACATCTAAAGAACATTTCCTGTTGTCTGACTACCAATACTGCTTGCAAGCATTAAATTGTTGGAATAATGGAAGTCTCTCTGCACTTCTTTTCATCTCCACTTACAGCTGCATCCTTTCTTCAGTTCTTTCTCTCCTGCCTGTTTTTTTTTTTTGTTTGTTTGTTTTGTTTTGTTTCTAGTTTGATATAGAAAGTTTAAAGATTGAGCAGTTTGTTTCACTTTCTAGCTGTTACTCCAGGAAGCAGTACGGAGCTGGGGTTGCTTGCATATGTATCAGCTACATACCTGCATGTTAAGCACACCAGAGAAGGGACATGAAAGGAGGTGGTTTGCTTTTACAGATAGTAATAGGCAAATCTGTAGGCAATTGCAAGGTTAAAGATTTTTATCAGTTTTTTTTTTCTATTCTTTATTGAAGTAGAGAAAACCAATAGCCAGTTTTAGAACCCTTCCTATTATTACTTTTTTTTTTTCTTTCTGATAAATACTGATAATTACTAAACCAGCTTTCCTGTTCTTTATCTGAAGCACTGAGCTCATGTAGAGGCCTCTGCCCCATAGGCCACATTTCAGTCTGCTTATATAATCTGGTCTGCTTATACATACTCATCAGGTGAAGAACATCGGGATGGAATGCCAATGAGAGAAGCATATTTTACCCTTAGTTTATCTCACATTTATTAGTAGATCAGTTAATGAATGGTAGAGTACCAGAGTGAAAGTGCCTCTTCAGAGAACACAGTGAGAAGCTAGTAATCAATCCCTTTACCAAAAGTATTAGTAATGCATCCTTTTCGTGATTATTGATGAAAGTTAATAGTAAACCTTCCGGAAAAATGTAGAATTAAATTAGTGCAAGTAAATGGACCTTCAGAATAACACTAGGATATCCACATGTTAAGGCAACAAAAGGAAGCTGTAGGCTGTTGCTGTGCTGTACCAAGTCCTGATGTGCTCTAGAGCAAAACTTTTACTTTGAATTATAGGATGTGGAAGAATGGAATATTGGCAATCTGAACACCCTGTTAGACATGGTGGAACATGAGTGTGGTATTATTATAGAAGGTGTAAACACTCCCTACCTCTACTTTGGGATGTGGAAGACAACGTTTGCTTGGCATACAGAAGACATGGATCTCTACAGTATCAACTACTTGCATTTTGGGGAGCCAAAATCCTGGTAAGTGATATCCTGATAGGTAGTAGCTACATACCATTGCCTTGTTGTACTTGGAGACCATGTGGAGTCCTTTTTTCACACCTAATTCCATCAGGCCTACAAAATTTCTCACTTCCCGCTTCCCCCCCCCCCCCCCTCTTTCTCTACACTTGAAAACAATTTTATTTTCTTTCTGGTTGACTTGCTTGGCGACCTAACAGCAGAATTAGGAAGGCTTCTTGACATTATGATTAAAAACAGATTTTAGCATTTGGCACATTTTTGGAAGCTAGTGCACAGGAGAGCAAATGATGATAGGAGTGTGTGGATGCTTTTGAAGTAATTCAGTAGTGTTGTTTTTGCACTGTTATATTGGTAGGGGATTTCAGTTACTTTAAAAGTTCCATTTTTTAAGTTTATAAATATACTTTCAACTCCAGAGACAAGGTAGGCTGAAGTATTTTTGTGGTCAATTCTTAGAATGGTAAGCATTTTTCAACACTGCTGATGCATAAACTAGTTGGAAATAACTTTCCACAAAAGTAGTTAATAGATAAGGATGAAATTGAGAAGCTAGCAGATCTGGAGTAAGTTAGCAAGATCCAGTATTTTTTTTTTTTTTTTTTTTCTAAAGCTTCTTATTTAAAAATATAACCAGAGAGACTTAGTTAACCCAGAAGAGCTTTGCTGAAGATCTTGATGTGACTAATAAATATTGACATTTAAGCTCTAATTTGCACACAAATGTCAGGGTGGAACTGCTGTCATTATGCCCTGGCACTGGCAGACAAGACCCTCCCAGCTCTCTGTAATATGAGTCCCCAGTGTCACTGTGTATCTCCAGGCTGTTAGTGTCTGCAGGCATATAAAAGCCAACAATGAAGATCCTGTGATAAATGGATATAATGTTCTTCTACAGTCTTGAAAAAGGGTGGAAAAAGGGGCTGGGCTTGAAGCATTCAGCTGTCAATGTGCCCTTTAAGAATCTTTTCCAACATGTCAGAAAATTTGTTTTGCCAGCATTTGTGATTCTTAGTTTCCTTTGTTCAGGCAGTTAGATGTACAAGGATTTTGCAGAATCACTTATGCTACCTCTGTTAAGCGAGTTGGATGTCAAGAAACTTGGATTTTAAATGAAATGGAGCATGCTTTCATCTTAGATTTTCGATTTTTTTTTTTTAGTATGTCTTCAGAGGCAGTTAGATCAAAATTTGATACTCATCTCCAGTAGGTGGTGCCATGAGCACACAAGAACCACTTTTCTTTGCCTAGACAGTGCAGTGACCATCAGCAAGGCGTGCCACTTTGGAGTGTCTGTTTCAGCACACGAGAGTTAACTGCTTTGAGAGTTGTACAAGCAGCTGGCCTGAGGTTTGCATGATTATCGTGTCGTCATATCTGCCTCTCCTTCCATGCCTGTGTGTTATGAGGTTTGCCTGGCCTGTCTTCTGCTCACTTTTTGTTCCGATCCTGCAATAGAGGGTTCTCTCTTTCAAGAAGCAGAAATAAGAACAGGTTACTTTGAAAAGAAAAGCTTGCTCCAACATGAAACTAATGCCTTTACAGCTTAGTAACAAATAAGCTCTCGCACTGTGAGCAAAATTTAGAGAACAGATGCTAAATGAAATGTACACTGAGTATTTGTGGCCTTGAACTAGAACTGTATAAAACTTAGGAACTTCATGTCATAGAATTGAATTGCTCAGGTTGGAAAAGATCTTAAAGATCATCAAGTCCAACCGCAACCAAACCACAGTACCTTAACTCTAACAACCCACTGCTAAATCATGTCCCTGAGCACTACATCCAAATGGTTTTTAAACACATTCAGGGATGGTGACTCAACCACCTGGGCAACCCTGGGTAGCCTATTCCGGTGCTTAACAACCCCTTCTTCCTTTCCCTTTCTTTGTCATTATTGTTGGTGTTGTTTGTTTGTTTTGAGTAATGTGAATAACATTTGGGCGCCAGCATATTGTGTCTATCATAAGGATGATAAACTTATTGCATGAAGCTGTTCTAAACAGTGGCTTTTCCTTATGTTCTTATATATGTTTATTTTCTTCCTTGTGGAAAATACAGATTGCATGATAGAAAAACAAAGAAACCCTTCAAAAAGGAAATCCTCAAACACCTGCGTGTAGCATGGTGTATATGAAGAGGGTAAGAATAAGAAGAACTAAAAACTGTAGATGGAAAATTGTGTCTGACAAATACCAGATCTTAAAAGTTCTCAGTAGCTTTTATTTCTGTCTAATCCTGTTAAGGAATTTGGGGACATGCTAGGGGAACACCTGATTGCTCCCCTAGGAAGAGTTTCAGTTGTTGAAGAATTCAGCTGCTAATACAAATGGAGAAGACAGATCATACAGTCTACTTGAAAGGAGCTCAGGTCTTTCTGGTTAGAAGTCAAAGCAAGAATATGCTCTGGAGCTGGTTTAGGAGAAGAAAAAAAAAAAAAAAGAAAAAGGTATTTTTACCATGCTTAAAAGGAAATGAAGGGGACCTATGCAGCTGTTCTGTAGTTGTATAGGTCTTTTTCTGGTAACTAGCTGTGTAAACCTTATGCATTAGGAAAGAAATGAGGATTTTGAGGTTTGACCATGTTTCCTGTTCAAGTGAGCTTCATATCTACATAACTGTGTCATGCAAAAATAGTTGTATTGTGGCAGGATGCCACTGGTGGTTTGGAAGGCCTTTATCTTGTTCCCCGAAGTGTGAGGAAAGAGTATGCCACTTGCCTAAGTAATTTCTTTCTTCTTCTTCACCCTGACTACTTCTGTTAGTAAGTTCTTAAGCTCTTCTGTGAAGAAGTGTTGGTTTCTGAGGGGTAAATCTGAATACTGCTTTGAGCAGACCTGTAACTTTGCATCCATGCAAGCAAATGCTGATTTTTCTGGATATGATTGCAGTGATCCCAAAGGTCAGGTGGGGGAGCTCTTGGACTTCAGTGACTAAATGCCAGTGGTGCAGCCTGGCTTATCTCAAGGATGGTTGAAATATTCGTTGTTGGTTTTTTTTTTTTTTTTTTTTTTTTTTTTTTTCCCTGGCACTACCTCGGTAGAAATCTTCCCAGCTTCCTTCATCCGTTTTATAGACTCTTTGATTCTAACATTGATCATCTTAGAAACACCTCAGGGAATAGCAGAAGTGTGGAGAGTTATGGAGTCCACCCATTTGGGGTTGAGCTCTATAATAAGAGACAGCATTATTGTTTGGCTGTCAAAGATTTTTGCATATTGGTAGTATTTTACCCCCAAATTGTCTGTTAAAAGCATAACGCTTTCTTCATGTCTCTCATAAATTATCTTAGGCTATTTTAATTTGAGCCATGTAACCAAAACCCTACTTTGCTGAATAGTGAATAGGAATGGTGAGAGGCCATCAGTGCTATTTTGTTATAAATGTAAGGTGTGAAAGGATTTGGGCCATTTGAAAGTGCTTCCCAGACCTCATTTAAGTGAGTTTGGCAAGAAATGATCATGTTTATTTTCTATGGGAGAGGTAGAAGTGACTTTTCAGAGAGGTCTGGATATGGTCAGATCACGAGGAGCCACCCCAGTGGACAAAGATAATCCGAATGAGAAATCACTCTATTTGTAGATCTGAGAAGATAGGTACTGAAGTGTTATTTTGCATGGATCTTTTATTTCTGTCTTTGGAATTCTAGATTATACCTCTTGCAAAACAGAAGCTTTTGGGACTGGAATCAGAATTAAGATAAATGTTTGTTTCAGCAACTGAAGATGGCTTCTTTGTACAATCCAAGAGGCAGCTGCATGGCCATACAATTCCTTGATTAATATGTTTCTTTCACTGCAGAGAGATCCTGCTGCCAGCACTTTCTTGCACTATTCCTTTGCCGTAAACTGAGTGGAATAGACAGTAGCAAAATGAGCTCTAGCGTTGTGTCACTAGGGATGCAGGTTAAAATACTGTTCACTGCTAAGTGAAGCGCTTGAGTAATGAAGGGTCATCCAGTGATGGGGGGAAAGCTGAGGGGGTAATGGAAGAAAGCTTTTTTCCTTCTTCCACTCTCATGAAATGATTCTATGTTTGTAGATTGCATTGCATTTATATCTTTTGTCTCCTAACAAGAGGAACAAGCACTGTTGTCGTTAACCAGTGTAACTGCTGATGCAGAGTTACCTATCCTTCCTCTTTCTGAAGTTGATCCTCTTCTTTGTTGCACTCCTTCGAGGGTATACGCATCTGGTCTACCAGTGTAGTCACGCTGCTGTTGATTTAACTGCAAAATAAGTCAGATTAGATTAAGGAGGTAACCTGGAAGTTGTGGGCACTGTCCATCAAATGTATCACGAATTTGTTGTGTAACTTCATTTTAAGCTTCTCAGGCAGGGAGCTGCCAGGCTGAGTCTGTTGCTTGCTTGTTCCTCAAATTACAAAGAAATGTTCCTCTCGCATTAGTAGCTCAATTTCAACCTTTTCATGGTCTGTTTTCTTCTGTTGTTTTTTTTTTCCACCAGAAGTTTGAATGTATCTCATTTTGCAGCCCTATATTAAACCTCATGTGGTAGGAGTTTTTGGTGTATCAATTATACATATTATATATAATTACCTTATACATTCATATGCTGAGATCTAAAATTGAGCATATTGTCAAGAGATGCTAACAGAAGACTGATTTTTATAGTGACAGAAGCAACAAAACTGAATGCCAAGTCTTAATACTTCATGTTTATTACAGCATTTTACTGAGGAATGTATGCATCACAGCTCTTGGAATTTGAAAAGCATATCTTTAAACACTGAAATACTCTGCCATCATTTCATTTCATCTCAGTAAAATAGTGAGTGCACGTACATGCTCTCTCCTGGTATAAATTATGGTCTTGCATATCGTTTATGTGGGTTCTCTTCCTGTGTTATATACAGGTTATTGTTTTACACTCCTGAATTGCTGTAGCAGTAATAATCACATTTGGAGGAACAAAGTGGTCTGATACTGCCAAACCAGCAGAGTAGCTGCTAACTTTACAGAGTGGTGAACAGTGCAAGTT